GAAAAGCGGCTGTTTTTCGGGAATAATTGGCCAGTGTAGACACAGCCCTTGTGAAAAGCAGGAGTACTGAAATCGACTTCCGCAGCCCTTAAGTTTGATGCACAGGCTTGGTCACATTCAAACTTTCACAGGACTTTATCTGTTCAGTGGGAGAGCAGTAGAGGTGCAAGTTCTGGCCAGAGTGGTCAGAGAAGGAAGCTGCGGGAGGCCTCCCGGAAGCCAACAGTGTCAACTTTCCAGCAACACTGCATCTACGCTACTATAAATTTGACCTTGCAAGGTGAGGAATAGAGTTACTCGGTGGCTACGTCTACACTGGCATGATTTTCTGGAAATGCTTAAAACGGAAAAGTTTTCCGTTATAAGCATTTTCGGAAAAAGCGCGTCTACATTGGCAGGATGCTTTTCCGGAAAAGCACTTTTTGCGGAAAAGCGTCCGTGCAAAAAAGCCCCGATCGTCATTTTCGCGATTGGGGCTTTTTTGAGGAAAAGAAATCTGGGCTGTCTACACTGGCCCTTTTCCAGAACAGTTTTCCGGAAAAGGACTTTTGCCCGAACAGGAGCAGCATAGTTTTTCCGGAAAAGCACTGATGATTTTACATTAGATCGTCAGTGCTTTTCCGGAAATTAAAGGGGCCAGTGTAGAAATAACAAGCTGGCAAGTTATTCCAGAAAAGCGGCTGATTTTCTGGAATAAGTGGCCAGTGTAGACACAGCCCTTGTGAAAAGCAGGAGTACTGAAATCGACTTCCGCAGCCCTTAAGTTTGATGCACAGGCTTGGTCATGTGGACACATCACTTAGAAAATTGACCGTATGGGGCTAAAGCCGATATAAAGTCCTAGTATAGACCAGGCCTAAGTGATCATAGAAGAGAAGTCTTTAATCAGCTTTTGCTGGAATATTTAGTTTAATCCAGTGCTGTGGGGTCATTTATTACATGAAAAGTAAGGAGGCTAGCTAAGTGGTATCCTGAATGTGTAAGAGCAGGGAGTGCTGGATTGAAAATTTATAAAAGTATCTTATGCTGCAATAAGAGAGCTACGCTGTTCATTTTGGAAACACAGCAGAATAGTTCTATCAGAAAGGCAGTACGGATGCTTTACATTGCTATCAACACTCTTCTTGAGTGTAAGCGTTTTTAGTCTGGCAATGTAATAAAAGCAGCTGAAATGCATGGTATTCCAAATAAGCCAGGAAGCATCATTTATCTTTTGAGCTCTGATTCAGATTAAATTTGGCTTCAGAACTGTGGAAGGACTGCACCTTTAAGAGCTACCACATTGTTTAAGGACATTATTCACTTTGTACATCAGAACAGATGAGAAATGTGTCAGTACTAATCCTGGGCATTTCCCTGATGTTGTTAGGGGAACAATTACTTCACATCTGAGTGAAAACCTTACATTGAGGATCATATTAAGGCAACATATGGTGCACTATAGAAATAAGGGCTGTATATCTTGAGAATTCAGGCACTAGCCCATTACAGTGGTGGTTAACATATTTCTTCCACTTCAGCTGTTCTCCTGCATGGTAGAATTTGTTATTGTTGTGCTTAGAAGAGGTTTTACACCTTCGGAACCATGGAAGATGTAATAATGCTGCGTAGTTCAAGGGTTAAGCGCAATTGATCTGTTAGCTTTCACAGGCCGTGTGCTCTAGCGCCCTGGCCTTTGAAGGATAAATGTCTTATTCAGACAAATCCAGATTGCTTTTCAAATGGAGTCAGTTTGCGGCACACTGTTGTCAGGCAGTAACGCTGTGGAGCACAGACTGTTGGCACAAAGTAAAGAATACGTTTTGTTTTGTTGAAAACTTCAAAAGCGGTTATTTTTAGTTTTGAATCTAAAATTTCAAGAGTGGTGACACATTGTGGATGCCCCCATTTTTGGATTCTTAAATTCAGATACCTTTAGAATTCCTGATTTTCACACAGTGGGGTGTTCAACATTTCCCCCACGTCTGGCTACTGTCAGGTGTGTTAAATTGCAACATACTTGTCCCTTTACAAAAGCTGGCAAAACTTCCACTGACTTCAGAGAGAATATGTCCTGGATAGTTGAAAACTGACTCAGGGCTTCAGAATCGTATCTGCCTTTATTTTGTTTTTATATTTTACAATAAAGGCTCAAACTCTTCCATCAGAGAGAGAAATGGTAAAACTGTATTTTTTTCTTTTGAAGAACAACAACAACGACGATAATGTTGATACCATATTGACATATCTACCTACCTACATATTAGTATTTAGAGAGGGTAAGTTAGAGAAACATGCACAATACAGACACTGCCCGAAAGCTCGTACAATCTTCGCCCCAAATCCTGAAATCTTCACTTTGAGGAGCAAAGCCTCAGCTGCTTTTGGGTCCTGACAATTTACCTCTGCTTAAATCAGGAATTTTCAAAAGTGACCTGGGGACATCAGTTGGATTGAGGACCTAGGCCTTAGTGCACAAATTCTGCTGAGCTTCAAAGGCATTTGCTGCCTCGCTCCCATTGAAATATTTGAGGAGCTGGGCCTTAGTGCTTTTGGAAATCACTCTCTAAATTCCTGATCAAAGTCTTTGGCAGTCTTTCCATTTGACTGGGCTTTGGATCAGACCCTCATCCCCGTAGAATGACAGAGACCAATCAAATTCAATATGATGTTTGGTACCATTTAAAAAGCTTGGACGTGTGTCTGTGATGTGAGTAATGCCATTGACACAACTACAAACCTTACTCATAACAAGCCCAGTGGCAGGGCTAGCCTAGCCCTATAGACGTAGGGCACCAGGTTTTATGGGACACCAGATTAGACAGTAGTGAATTTTTTTCTCTATTTAAAATATCTATGTTAATATGTTATCTCTTATAAGCAAAGGTATCAAATAATGAAACTCAGCTTCTGACATGGCAACAGTGTCCTGTTTGAGAAGTACAATATTTATTTCCCATTGCGGAGCACGGCTGTGTATGTAAATTCCATTACACTGTGTCACCGCATAGCTTCAAAAGAGCCCCGCCTGGGTTTGCTGCCTGGGGACGGGGGTCTGACAGTTCAGTCACTCTCAGTAGCCCAGTATTGGTCGGTCTTACAGCTGAGTCAGTGTTGCTCACCACTGAAGTCCAGTCAGACACCCATAAGAGCTGATTTGCTGTGAGGAGCCAGGATCCCAAAGAAGCTGGGCTCATGAAGAATTGGAATTGTATTCGACTTGAGAAATTCGGTTAGAGGTTAAAAGGAGAATCACAAGCAGTGTTCCCTCTCAGCTAGGGGGCAGCAGAGCTTCACAGCTGATTAGTCAGCCCCACCCAGTCAGTCAGCTCCGCCCTGAGCCTCTGATTGGGCGGGGCTGACCAATCACCTGTGAAACTGTGCTGCTGCACAGCTTAGAGGAACTCTGCTCACGAGTAGAGTGTAATTGTGTCCGGATGCATGAAAAGTAACAAAAAAATCAATACAAATATTTGTTTTTCTATTTTTACATTGTTCCTTTCAAATGCCAAGTCGATAAACGTAACATTTCATTTCAGACTTCTCTTTTTTCTCTATATTGAATAGAGCAATAGTTCACTTAGAGTGCCAAAACCCATTGGAATAGCTGCCATTTTCAAGGGGCCGCTGACAGAGCCGGTCGTAGGGGTGGGCCATGACCACATTTTGGCCCAACCCTCCGAATCCTCCTCCCAGGTTTCCTTGGTTACTCCCCAACCTCCCCCCCTTTTTTTGCTCAACAATGTTTCCCCAGGTTTTTTTTTTTTTGGTTGACAAATTTTTGACCGGTATTTGTTTTGAAACCATCTGGCAACCCTATAGGCGAACTGGGTAGTCGCCTGGAGCCGCCGATTGGTTAGGACTGGCCCTGGCTTGGCTCTAGGGCAGCTGCCAGCTTGCCTCCCTCCCATTGGCAGCCCTGATTTATACTCAAGTATACCTTAAATGCCCTGTCAATCTGAACTCCTTTGTAGTGGCTTCTGCATAAATACACATTCCAGTCCTGAGCTCATGCTTGAAATAGACAAGCTAGAGAGAAGAGGCAGGAGAATCATTTCTCTGGTTTACCATTGGGGAGGTGAAGCACAGAGAGGTCATCCAAGATCACCCAGGAAGCCTGTGGCTGTGTCAAGAATTGAACCACCGGAGGCCCCGTCCCATGTCTTCCTCTCCTTTTGTCAGTATTTGTGGTTATTTGATAGATTTTTTCTAAACCAAACTAAAAAAAAAACCCCAGACATTGTGAATACTCTTCTATAAATCTGGACCATTGGAGGGCAGGCAGGTGGGAAGGAGTAATTCATATTCCTGATCCCAGGCTTGTTATTTTGTTGCACTTGTGTCTTTCATTGCCACAGAGAAGCCAGGCTGATTATCTGCACTGGAGGTCGTTTTGGCATGCGAAAGGAAAACACAAGGTACATCTTGCTAATTTGATTCTAATAGCTGTGCCACACAATTGTTTGACCTAGAAATTATATTGCTTTTTTAGTAATATAACTGGTTAATTAAAATGTCTTGTTCTCTAGGAGATGGGGGAAGATACTCAGAGTCCTTATGTGACTAAGGACATTATAAAGTAAACATACATCTGTTCTTAATTCATACAATCCTGTTTAGAACACAAAGAAATATGCTCAACATTTTATATTAATATTTAAGAGACATTAAGGCCTGATTCTGCCTGGTTGTGAGTACAGAAGAGGTAAAGGGTCCTTTGTGAACACACAGTTATTTTGACCGTCACACATGTCTGTAATTGCAATGTCCCATTACTAATCATATCTTTTAGGCCTTGTCTATACTTACCCAGAGATCACCTCTTTAGAGCTCTGTCTTTTGCGTTTGATTTAGCGGGTCTGTAGTGAGCATGGTTGGCCACTCACTGACCTCGAGGAAGAACAACCCTTCCCTGAGCCTGGGTGGGCAGAGACGGAGCTTGCCCCTTTAAATCCAGGCCTGGGGGGAGGGGCAGGAAGTATAAAAGCTGAGCCCGGAAGCTCAGTAGGGGGCAAGCTGTCAGAGGGAGCTGAGGTCTACTCTGGAGATGCTAAGGAGTTGGCCGAGGCGGGCGACTGGCCAAGGCCACTAGGCCCAGGCCTTGAGGAGGAGACCTTTTCTCCCTATGTCTAAACTTGGACTATACAGACCCTGTGAACCCGCTACTGCCTGGGAACCAGGTACAAACTGAGAGGGAGATCAG